AAAGAGAAAATACCTTAAGAGAACAGCGCAAAGTGCTTTGCCCAGATTAAAGAGAGAAAGAGGGAGAGAGTGATGGCCAGCAACTTTTTTCCTAGGGAAATTCTGTGACATCCTGAACCAATCAAGGAAAACATGAACAGTAGAAATGGCAGTGCGTTGTGCCAGGAAACTAACAGAAAATCCAGCAAGGATGGGCTTGAATGTCTTCATTTTTTGGTGAAAACCACTTAAGCCTTCATAAATGTTGTGGAGTTGAGATTTATGGGACTGCAGTACAAAGTACTCACAGTGCTTAAATCCATATTAAAGGTTCACAACATGTGCTAACGTAGCTTTAGATTCATTTCCATAGGCCTGAATGCACTATAGATGTATATAGGCAGTCACAACATTCCTGTTGTCGGTTTATGCAGAAAACTCTAGAGTTAGTATATGACAAGGTGAACAACCTCCCCACCCCCACCCCCAGTCCAAGGTCACCCAGTGAGCTTCATGGCTGAGTTGGGATTTGAACCCTGCTTTTCCCTGTCTAGGTCCAGCACTCTAACCTCTACACCATACTGAATTCTCAGTCCTATGAAGGTCAGCTCAGAATTAAGTTGCACTGAGTTTAATGGGGTTACTCTCAAAGTATGTTACTATGCAAAGGATTTTTTTTTAAAAATGGAACTATTGTTCTGGAAAACAAGTGAAAGTATTTCCTTTTTGACTTTAATGTACTAGAACCAGTTATTGGTTAGAATGTTGGAGCAGGACCCGGGAGACCTGGGACCAAATCCCTGCTCATCACTGGATGACCTTGGGCCAGTCACTGCCTCTCAGCCCAGCCAACCTCACAGGGTTGTTGTGAGGATAAAATGGGGAGGGGAGCCATATTTGCCACTCTGAGCTCACTGAGTGTGCATGCTGAACCAGTTACTAGAAATGATATGCTGGTAAAAGGATGTGTAGAAAGGATGAGGAAAGGCTGTGAATGCAGTTCTTGAGAATTTGAGTAACAGAAAGAGGCCCTAAAGCTCAGGAGTAAAGCAGATGTTCTGAATGCAGAAGGTCCTGGGTTCAAATCCCTGTCATATCCAGTTAGAACATGATGGGAAAATCTTTGTGCTAAAGACCTGTGAGTGCCAGGTAGACCTTGTTATAAGACAGCTTTCTCGTTCCCAGTTCAGGGTAATCTTAAAAAACCCCCAGATAAAATAAAATTGGGGAAATATTTTACATCTCTTTCTTTTGATCTGCCTCTGGTTGCCCAAATGATGCGCAAGCTCAGCTGTTTCTGAGCTATTTCCCAGGTCGTCCTACATTTTTTGTTTCCTACCACACTGTGTTCCTTTTGCTATGTAGATGTCTTCATCTTGCCTCTCTGCTCTCCATTTTAGATGTCATTGAACCTGATGATGTTTGTCATGTTTGTCTGTAAGTGTCGTGAAAGAGCCTTCCTGCCTTCCAGGGGATGGCTTCTGTCTTCATAATTATTCCCCCCATCCCACCCTCCTGCATTGTAGGGACAAAGATCTACTGTTGCATGAAACTTGCCACGCCGTCTTTTGCAAGAGCAGTTCGTGTGCCAGCATATTTTCCTTCCATGAGTTGAAAAGAAAGTGGTTAAGGGAGGGTGGATTGGAAAGAAAAGATGTAAAAATGTTGCCATAAGAAAGATGGATGAGATTATGGCTTTAAGCAGATGTCAATATTGATTCAGAGTGGGGGAAAGCTGGCATAATTCATTTGAAGGCAGTAGAGCTACACTGATTTCAGACCTGTTGACTACATTAAAAAAATTAACCTGACTCAACTGACTTTGCAATAATTGCACAACAATTGAGTAAAAGAGAAGCTTTTTTTGGTCTTTTCCCACACTCTAGTGTAAGAGGGACGTGGGTGGCACTGTGGGTTAAACCACAGAGCCTAGGACTTGCCGATCAGAAGGTCGGCGGTTCGAATCCCCGTGACAGGGTGAGCTCCCATTGCTCGGTCCCTGCTCCTGCCAACCTAGCAGTTTCAAAGCACGTCAAAGTGCAAGTAGATAAATAGGTACCACTCCAGTGGGAAGGTAAACGGCGTTTCTGTGCGCTGCTCTGGTTCACCAGAAGCGGCTTAGTCATGCTGGCCACATGACCCGGAAGCTGTACGCCTGCTCCCTTGGCCAATAAAGTGAGATGAGTGCTGCAACCCCAGAGTCGGTCATGACTGGACCTAATGGTCAGGGGTCCCTTTACCTTTACCTAGTGTAAGACAGTGAAATCACACTTGTCTGTCTTGTTTCTTTGAAATCTAATAATAGCCTTCTTAATGTGTTACTCGTGTGCAGAAGGGTGAGTGTTGAAAGGGGGTTCTGGATCATGCATTTAGCCCCATCCCCCAAAGCCCTGCTGCTGCTGCTCCTTTCACCACCATTACTATCATTGTGTTCGGCCTAATATATACATCACAGAACCCCCTTCAGGCAAGAGGTTATCAATCACACAGGGAGCCTCCACTTAAACAGAAAAGCTCCCCACTGCATAAATTGTGCTGGGCATGATGAAGACAATTGGGAGGGGGGAAGCAACATGACTTGGGAGATGGGGCTGAATGTACCATCTAGAGCCCTCTGTTGAGAAGCTTGCCTTCTGCATATGAGTACTGCACAAAGAGGGCTATTATAAGAGTGCAGTTCCAAACATGTCTACTTGTGCATAAGTCTCATGGAATTCAACAGAGCTCCCTCCTCAGTAAAAAGGGTATGAGATTTCAACTTTAATATCCAGTTTGCAAAACAGGCAGGATGCTATTACAGTGGTACCTCGGGTTAAGTACTTAATTTGTTCTGGAGGTCCGTTCTTAACCTGAAACTGTTCTTAACCTGAAGCACCACTTTAGCTAATGGGGCCTCCCGCTGCCACCGTGTGATTTCTGTTTTCATCCTGAAGCAAAGTTCTTAACCCAAGGTACTATTTCTGGGTTAGCAGAGTCTGTAACCCGAAGCGTATATAACCTGAAGTGTATGTAACCCGAGGTACCACTGCATTGTTTTCTGAGTTTGCAGAGAATTTTGTTTGCCAACTTGTCAAATGGAATTCACACAGCAGAAGTTTGCCGTGGTGCTTTTTGAATAACATGGTTGGTGGGCACAAGTCACTTAGTCACATAAGAAGAACCTGCCAGATGAGGCCAGTCTGCTTTGCACAGTGGCCAACCAAATGCTTGTGGAAAAAGCACAAGCCTGACCTGACTCTCCCCTCCTGTAATTTTCAGCAACTGGTATTCAGAACCATTACGACCTCTGGCCATGGAAAAAGAGCAGAGCTATCATGACTAGTAGCCACCAATAGCCTTACTATCCACCACTGCCTCCTCTGGGAGTGAGTTCCATAGTTTAACTATGCACTGTGTGAAGAAATACTTTCTTTTACGTATCCTGAATCCATCCAACATTCAGCTTCTTCATGCTTTGGGGTTATGAGAGAGGGAGAAAACCTTTTCTCTATTCACTTTCTCCATGCCATGCATTTTGGTGACCTTCTATCATGACACCTCTTGCTCATATTTTCTCTAAAATAAAAAGACCCAAATGAAAACAAAAAAGTGTCTCTTGTTTTGCATAGAATACAAATGAGAGAAAATATATACATTTAAAAAAAAACATTGGAGAGCACTTTAATTCAAAAGCATGGTATGTTTCTGATTTCTGAAACTTTGAAAGCATAGTATGCTTCTGATTTCTGAATCTTTGGATATTCTTCAGATGAATCTGATCTATCCAGCAGGGAAAGGAAGAGATTGTGGCCAGCTCTCCTGAATGTTTTAGATGTTTTTGTTCATGTTACATAAGTAAGCTGTTGTAAGTCAAAATCCCAGATCCCAAGATTTTCCATTGCTAAGACCCAAATCTGAACCCAGTCTACAAACTACTTCCGCATTAACAACCCCCTCTCCATTCTACCAAGATTAACCTTATTTCTAGATGGATTTTAAATAACATGCAAAACACACACACACAGCTGCAGTGCATCTTGACATACTGGCTGTGGACAAATAAGAACAAGGGACATCAAAACCAGACATCCAATGTATCAAGTGTAATCAATCCTCTGGGACCAATCGGCTAGCTCCTTCTGCTTCTAACCTCAACCCCACACTAGGCCAAATAGTAAAAGCAGATGTCCTTTTATAGAAGGTTGGGAGGGAATCGGAATTCCCACACCCATACTATTGTAGCAATATTTGGGGAATGTAGACCTGGGAAACATCCAACACGAGCTGCACAAAGCCCTCCAAGAATAATCCAGAGTGAAGGATTTCACTCAGAGTGAGAAGAGAGGAGCTGTTATAATGTGGAAGAAATTCAAATGCCATTGGAGAGCAAAGTGATATCTCAAATTGCTGTGATTTATCCAGCACCACTCACCTGACCCCACTCCTTTCAAATACCAAACTGACAAGCCAAGCTGTAATACTGAATAAGAGAAAGCCCTCTCACCTTCCATTCTACCATTTTCCCGTAGAAACCTTCAACCACTTAATCCTTGGTGCTTATGAGTTGTGCCTCTGAAATATATATTTCAGCAATTGCAGCAATTGTGCTCTATGTGTTGAGATGAAGCACTCCTGTCCCCTTACATTTGCTTACTATTTGGGGCATTTAGGCACTTTGAGATGGGGCAATCCCTCGCAAATGACTTGTTCAAGCCTGTATTTTCTCTGTGTGTGATTGGCACACGAGGGTCAGCACATTCATAAGTATACATCTTATGCTTTTCATAGTTATAGCGCTGTTTCCTGTCCACCCCAGTGGACATCCCTTGATGGAATTATTTCATGCTGTGTGTTCATCATTCTACCCTCCATTACCTTTTCCCATTCTGGGCAAGTGCACAGATATTTCTGTACCTGTGCACACATGCCCCTTTAGTAATTCTCTCCCTACAGGAAATGCAGAAGAGCAAACATGGCCAGCCCCAAATTATCATATATTACAATGGACACATTGGAGGTGTGTCCTTTTCTTTCTTTTTTTTGAAAGGTGGGCAGCATCCATTTTTATCTGGTGGTTTGTTTGTTTTTTAAAATATATTAAAAAATACAGAAGTTTTGCACAAGACTGATATTTAGCTGTACTGAACTTCTGATAAAAACCTGATGTATCTTCTGTGATTACAGTCTTCAGGGTAATCCTGCACATGTTTAAAGATTAGGTCCTCTGAACTGGGCTGCTGAAATTCCAGAATGCCTTCTGCACACTTGTTCCCACCCCCCAAAAAAATTATATTGGTTTTCACAATATTATAAAAAACAAACAAACACACAAGACAAACAAACAAAACAAACATAAATCATAGCCTTATTGAAAATTACAGTTATTAACTTTGTTAAGTGACTTCCTCGTTTCCCCTTAGTTGAATTTCATTGCATGTCCTTTTAATGGTTTTCCAAATCCCAATGTTTATGAAATTTAACTTAAACATTAACATCCTTAAATCTTCACCTTATAGAATTAGACATATTAGTTCATCACTTAACATAAATAAAATCCTAAGCCCATTAAGTATCTGCAGGCTATTTCCAGTTAATTTAACTTAACAAATTTAACTAAATAATCATTAAATTTATTCCATTCTTCCTGATACTCCTCCTCCTTATGGTCGCGGACTCTTCCAGTTAGGTTGGCTAGCTCTGAAAAAATCCATCATCTTCATCTGCCATTCTTCTATTGTTCTGCACACTTGTTAGGGTCACCAGAAACAAAAAAGGGCTAGGTTGTACTCACGTGAGGAGCAGGGCAATAGCCACAGAGGCAACTCACTGAAACGGTCCCACCACACACATGAGAGACTTCCCCCAAAACTGGTTTCACACTGGTTTTGGGAGCCAGCATGGTGTAGTGTTTAAGAGCGGTGGACTCGTAATCTGGTGAACCGGGTTCACGTCCCTGCTCCTCCACAAGCAGCTGCTGGGTGACCTTGGACTAGTCACACTTCTCTGAAGTCTCTCAGCCCCACTCACCTCACAGAGTGTTTGTTGTGGGGAGGAAGGGAAAGGAGATTGTTAGCCGCTTTGAGACTCCTGAAGGGGAGTGAAAGGCGGGATATCAAGTCCAAACTCTTATTCTTCTTCTAACTGTGAGTGAGGTTATATACCAGGTGACTTTTACTTAACAGATCCTCCACAGTAAGAAGAAATCAGAATTATTATTATTATTTAAAAAGTATGGGCTGGCATTTTGATCACATGGATGGCATGAAAGGTTGCTTGCATGAGCGGCACTGATTCCACAGTAAATCTTCACTGTGAATCATATTGTGACGTTCACAGGTAGTCAAGCACTGATTAGACTCTTGGTCTGTGTAGCTTCAAGAAGGTGGCCACATCATGTACCTTCAAGGACCTTTCTCAAACATGAGGCAAGCAGGCAGCTTTAGTTTAACATCTGAACTTAAGCTCTCTGTGGGTATGCAATGCCATTCTTCTCTATGCATGAGGAAAAGTATGACTCTTGTGGTGGCAAGTACCACCTTTTGGCACACACAGGGTCCATGCAAGCAACCAAGTGTTTGCACATAGGCATGATTCTCATGAGATGTACACTCAGAATGCAAACTCTGGTAGAGATGCTCTACTGAATTTATAAATGTTAGGTGCATGCTCCCACCATGATCACAGTCCTACCACCTTGACCCCATGAAAACAGAGGAACAACATGTTACATCCTCAAATGTAATAGTCAGTTGGCTTTCCCCTACCAAGCAGGAACACCTTCAGGATGCAATTCCAGCTCTGGATGGCTGAGGAGTAATGGGATACTGTGCATGGTGGGTGTGGAATACCTTCTGGATTTTTGGTTCTAGGCTAGCCTGCACTCTTAGGTTCTAAATGCCATTAGGACAAGAATGCTGTAGATTTGGAAAACTGAGGCCATTTCAATGCAAGAGTGACCATATCCCTAAAAATTGTTATTCAGATGATTGTTTTAAGCTGCCACGCCTGTGAAATGGAAAGGTGGCGCTGAGTCCAGTTTCTGGTTCAGATGTTCCCTGCTACAAATTGGACGTTCAGATCTTTCCTCATTTCTGCTTTGAGTAATATTGAACATTAGTCATATTCAGAGGAGCCCCATTAGCTGGAATTGTTTATATATATATTTTATTGTTAAAGACACTGCAATTTTTTAGGAGACGCTCTTTATGAATGCACTCATTAAGTAAGCTACAAACTGGTGGGTTGTGATGGGCCTGCTTTGAATATGAATAGCAGGGAACTGGACCCTTTGTAAACAGAGTGTGGACAAAACCCTTCGTATGTCAGTCACTTCCAAATACCATTGCCACTTTCAAAACACATAGTAACAGCAATCTCCTAAGAGTCCTTCCCCTTTGGAAGGCATTTGTTTCTCAGAAGTCTTCACTTTTGTTTCAGTGCTGACACAATTTGCAAGTACAGTATCCAGAATGCAACAATTTGTATCTTGGAGAATGGGTTCATGGAAATATTGGGTGATATCCAACTAATGTGTCCTGTCAGTGCAAGGATTTCTGCTTGTGCAACAGAACTTGCACAGATCTTCTCCAGAGGGTGCATTGGGGGGCAGGAGCAGGTGTGTGTGGGGGGGGAGTCCTGTTGTGGAAGCAGAAATGTTTGCATGGACAGGAAAGGTTACTCAGTGCTACTTTGGATACCTTGTCTCAGATAGCATTCATTGCTATTGTGATTTTTTGTGCAGAATCAGTTGCTCAAATGTCAGGGCACTTACTGGGTATTCTGTGATATGAACAGTGGCAAGTGATACCTGCCTGAATAATTTTGTGAACCTTAAAAAGAAAAGAAAAGATATTTGAGGGTCATTGAATGCAGCACAACTCCTGCAAGGAGGAAATAGTTAACTCGTAAAAAAATTAGTAAGTAAATAAGTAGACAATTGTATCAAACCCTTACTCAGCAAGGTCCTGCCGTTTTAATTGGAGTATATAGCTAAGCAAATGGAAAGAAAGAAAGAGATGGGGGAACAGAAGCAGGAGGAGGAAAGAAGATCGATTGTATGTATAGATGAGATATCAGTTTATGCCATACACAATGAAGAGGATGTCAAGTGGGGGTCAAGTGGAAGCAAACTTGAACCATTACATACCACATTATCCTTCTTCTCCATTAGATCTGTTTATCAAGAAAGAAACAACTTGAAACTGAAAAGCTGAACTAAATAAGCACATGGAAGGTTATATTCAACAGATCTCCTCTGAATCTAGAGGGAAAGCCAGCTCCATTCTCTACGGATACATTTCTCTGCACACATAGCTGGGAGTCGCTTCCTTTGATCATAGTGAAGCTTTTTCTCTTTCTTTTTCTTTTCAACTAAAAATAATAATATTATCCACAAATTTAACAAAAAGAAAGTGGGTGAAATAGGTAAAGGTAAAGGACCCCTGAATGGTTAACTCCAGTCAAAGGCGACTATGGGGTTGCGGTGTTCATCTTGCTTTCTGGCGGAGGGAGCCAGTATTTGTCCACAGACAGCTTTCCGGGTCATGTGGCCAGCATGACTAAACCACTTCTGGTGCAACAGGTCACCGGGACAGAAGCCAGAGTGCATGGAAATGCCATTTACCTGGGATTGTGTATGACCGCCCTGATAGCATCATGACCACATATCATCAATGCACCATAAAAAAGGATACCAGCACCTTGAAATTCCTTTGAACATTAAAGGTCTCATCCAGTGCATTCTCCTCTGCAACACAAAAATAATATGTACAAAGCAAACTCTGTTGTTAAGTCTGGAGAGCAGGACAACCTGATAGAAATATTTGGACCATTCTGTCCCTGTGATATCTATCTGGTGGTTTTTTTTATATATATAATGCTGTTGCCTGTCACAGTTGCAGCCAGTAAACCATTCTACACATCAGGCCTGACTTCTCTTGGAAGGAAAGGGAGCTGTTTTCCCCATTCACACATAGTTTCTCTCTTTCTCTCTCTCTGGGGGTATCTGACGACATAGCCTTAGTCCTCAGACAAGGAATATTGTACGCTAGCTGGGTTGGGAAAGCCCTCTGCATGCTACAGTGGACATGTTTATGTAGTATAGGTTAAGGAAAAGCAGAGAACTTCATTCCTGTCTGATGCTCAGAATATAAATCTGTCATGACGGCCTTCAGAAGATATTTTGGCTAGGGAGTAATGAAGTGAAGTAAATGCTCGGAGTAAACTGATATGAGACATGACTGGGGAATTAGAAAAGTACAGAGATTAAGAAGGCATTTCAGCCTGAATTTTTAATGGTGCAAAAATATATATATATTAAAAAATCTACCCTCTTTGTATGGCTTGTTGTAATCCAGCTCCGCAAAAATCAGCAAGCTTTTTGTCAATTGCCATTCTCTTCTCTGTGCACAATGGCTGGGTTGTGCCAACAGTTAAGGGAGTGATATGGCAGGTTCTAACTCCTTTGCCTTCTTTAGCAATTGTCAGTCTAAATATTGATCAAGCAAGAATGCTGCGACAGAAGTCACCAATGTGCTTCTCACCCTCTACTTTCTGGATTAGGAACAGAAGGAAATCTAGTGCCAGCAAGAAAATACATGAATAAGAAAACAAAAACAAATTAAAACTATGGGCAGGACCCAACATACAACGTCACATTAACACAATGACCACAGGAAAGGTCAACATTTAAAATAACCTCAGCTTCCTCTATCACATTTTCCACATATGCTTCTGATGCTTTTCTGAACTAGCTTCCAAGGTAAGACACATATAAATATTATAGCCTCTTCACTGCATACTGTCATGATAAAGTAGCTTCAACAGTGTCTGATGGGGACAGAATTTGACTGGAGAGGAATATTATGATTTCTAACATTGACTCTCTCTCCCCTGCACCTTCCCTGCAAGAAACTCAGGGTGATATGCATGCTGGTCACCTCATTTCAGCCTTGCAGCAGTCCTGGGATATGTTAAGTGGAGATATGATGGCTGCATGAACATTGCCCAGCGAACCATTACACAATACATCCCCTAGGAGTATCTGTAAAGTTTGGGATGGGGCTTGGATAAATCAATGCACTTGATTACCCACACAGACTTAAATGAACACTCAAGTGCAACTTTAGTGTTGATTGAGATCACAGCTCTGAGAGTTTATTATATTTGTATTCTGGCAACATAGGGTGGTATTCACCTAAATATTTGCATTAATGCAATGATTAGCACCAGCACAACTAGACTTCTCCCTCCCCCCTGCACATGCCCCACACCCTCCCCAGATCTACTATGGAGAGTTGGGGAAACCCACAGAACAGATTTAGGGTGTGTGCCGGGGGAAGCAAGGGAGAGAGGCACAAGAAGAAATCATTGCCCTGACAGAACATTCTCCTTCATGCTACATTAAATAGTACTCAAGGAGGATCTATGGAGCTGTAGCACCAAAGTTCTGAACCCAGTACTGTGAGCTGTATAAAAGGAGGGGTTCGTGGCAGAACATGTCTTCCAAACGTATGAGGGTTCTTCCTTCCCGGTGTGAAAGAGGAAATGTCTCTAACAGAGAGCTAGTGTCACAATCTGTTGATCTAAACCAGGGCTTCCCAAACTTGGGTCTCCAGTTGTTTTTGGATTACAACTTCCATCATCCTGAGCTAGCAGGACCGGTGGTCAGGGGTGATGGGAATTGTAGTCCAAAACTAGCTGAGATCCAAGTTTGGAAAACTCTGATCTAAACCAGTACCAACTGCTCTAAACCTCTAAACCAGTACCAACATGTGTGTGTGTATTTTACCATTTTTCTAATCAGATTGGTGTGTAAGAAAGCATAAGAGCTACCCATCAGCCGTAGTTCCGAAAAGTAAATGATAGACCAGTGATTATCTGTGAACAAGCCAAACCAAACAACTACTTTCTTAACATTTTCTTTTCTTATCTTACTCTGCTGTTGA